CGGGACCATCACTAAATATTCCTGAAAACGCATTTCAAAAATTAAGCAGTATTTTAATACAGTTTAATCCAGTAGCTACTCAACACAATATTATTTCAGAATTGCAACATTTTAAATCGTCATGGAATATTTTAAAGGAAAATGTCAATGAAACTTTTATAAAATTAAACGAAAATGAACATTCTACTGATGATCCAGTAGAAACTAATAAAGATGCGATTTTATCCTCTTACTGCATTGCTTGCAAAAATTGCTCTATTTGTTGTTATAATATATTATTCAGATAACATGTTAAGTGGCGCTTATTCTATACTTGGTCAAGCATACAAATATCTGCTATCTATGTCTGTAACACGTGTCCGGTGAACAAAACTTTTCTATGTTAAAATTAATTAAAAACAGGCTAAGATACTTATAAGTATCTCGCAAGAAAATCTAGAAGCCTTCGTGTTAATGTTAGTGGAGAAGGATTTTTTAAACGAAATACATCCTGATGATGTCATTAATATTATTGCTTAACAAAGCAAACTTCTAAATAAAAATTAATATTGTAGAATATAGACTTGTGCTTATTGTAATTTTTGTCAATGTTGTATTTTGAATACATTTAAATATAAATAGAAAAAATACATTTTTTTTTTATTTGTGGGCTGGGCTGGGAATAAATTTTCCACACAAAAATTTTAGGGCCAGTTTGTCCCTGTGTATATACAATTGAATTGTCCCTCTAGTGCAGGGCTTTTTAAACTTTTTTATTCACGACCCCATTTATGATTGTGATTATTTTTCGCGACCCCAAAAAAATATAAAATAAAGATATATACAAATTTGCAATAACAATAATGGTGTACTACCACAGTTAACTCTTGTGTTACAATAGAACAGAGACAACTGAATACCAGGGCCGGCCCGCCAATATAGACGAACTAGGCGAAGGCCTAGGGCTCTTGAATTTGAGGGGGCGGCATGGCGAAAGAACATGCATAAATTCCAATAAATAATGAAAAAAATAAATGATTTTTTTAAATCACAATCCTGTACTATGTCGTTTTATTACGTATTTGAATAAAAATTAAATACTCTATTTTACATTGGTGTTTTATATTGTTGCTCAGCACCCTAGGCAAATGACTTTGATGTCGACATCAAAGTCATTTGCCTAGGGTGCTGAGTTTGCTCGGGCCGGCACTGCTGAATACACTGAAAATCGACAACACTACACTAGTTCACATTACAATCGTTGTCTCGCTGTACCAGAAGTGACACAAAGCGCAATTCACGAAACCTATGACATAAAGCATGTCATTTTCAAACTCTCACAAATTATTTTCAATATTTTGCATTAAAATCTCGCGACCCCAAATGGGGTCACGACCCATAGTTTAAGAAGCCCTGCTCTAGTGGAATTATCTTAGTTCGAAAATAATTCCACTAGAGGGACAGTTCATAAGAAGCTTTGTTCGAAATAGTAGCATGTACAGTACACTTCCACATAAATAGACTATGTACTCGCTTTATATTATTTTGACAATATAAAACTTGAGGTAAATTAACCAATATTTGGTATGCATAAGTTTTAAGGAATGCAATGTAAAAATTTGTTTTTAAACTTAAAACTCAATTTGTTTATATAAAGTCTCATATTGATAATATTTTCTCGTAAATTTATTTTATATTTAATTCAATTTAAATTGTAATCAATGAATGAAATGCCATTGGAATAAATTTGTAAAATGATTTGCATAAAGTAAATTCATTTCTAGATATTCGGTCGAAGTAAATCAAACGAAAACAATCGTGCAAATCAGAATTCTTAAGATTTTGCTGCTCAGAAGATCATTATTCACTGATACATAAAGTCCAAAAACCATTTTAATAAAATAATTTAAAGATAATACTCCATACATGTTGCTGAGAAAAAGTGTTTGAAATCCTCATAATTTTTGATAGGTTATATAAAAAAAAAACATTTTCAAAACAAAGATTTTAATAATTTGAAGCTTCTTGTCCTCTAATCATGTTTTTAAATCATATAGTTTGATAATTTAGGACGGGTGGCAAACCTATGGCATGCGTGCCCAAAGTGGCACATAAGGAGAAATCATCTGGCACATAACGTATTGTACAATTTTGATTTATTGTTTGTCTTTTTCAATCATTGTTTCATTTATTCTAATTAAAGCATTTTTGTTTAATTTATTTAAATATCATTATTCAAAGTTTAAAACTTTGGCACACATAAACATCTTTAAAGCTAAGTATGCTTACAGTATGGCATGCAGGCTCAAAAAGGTTTGCCACCCCTGATTTAGGACATATCACACAAGAATGTACTTTATGTAGAAGGACAAAGCAAATTCTTCAGATATTCATTTTGTGGTATGCATTTTGGGTCTAGACTACCTGTCTGCTGCAGAATATACTATTAGGTGTTGCTGGTTACAAGCAAAGTCAAAAGGAAAATACCAATCTTTAAAAAAATTGTTTAAAATAATGTATAACTGTAATTGATACTGTAATTGTAAAATTTATTATATAAAACAGTCTGTGGTTGAAGAGGAGTCTAGATCCAAAATGCATACTGCAAAATGACTATCTGAAGAATTTGATCTGTCCATCTACATAAAATATGTTTCTGTGTGATATATCCTTAAATTATCAAGCTATATGATTTAAAAACACAAAAGAGAATTTTATTTACATGTGATATTCTTTGTCTTTATTAAATTATAGAATTAAGAATTTCTTCTAATATTCAGAAAAATTAAAAATAAACCTGAATCATAATGCCAAGCTGTAAACTTTTTGAAACTAGAATGAATAAGAGAAATGGCATATAAAACAAATCATTATGCAAATTACTCCAACGATGCAATTTCTGATTGTTTAGTGTGTGATAAGTGTCAATATATGTAGTAGTAAACAACGGGTAATTAGCAACAGAAGAAAATGATAAAAATAGGGAAAAAAATACGTTGTATAAGTAACAAATATATATATTTACTTATGGTGTGGTTTTTTTTATATTCCTTTTAAAAAAATCTATTTTTTAAAAAGGAAAAAATACCACTGAAAATTTACTTTCTCTTTATTTTTTACATAAAAAAAGAAAACCTTGTGAGTGCTATTGCAGAAATGCTATCCCCAAATATCTACAGAGCATTATATTTTTTGGTGAAATTATGAGGTATAATTGAAGAGAGGTTACAGTCTGGATATTTGTGTGAGTTGACATAGAGTGATCTAAAATTTTTAATGAGAGAAATAAGACAATTTTTAAAGCTTTGTCAGAATTATCAGTAAAATTAGCAACATTTAGTGGCACTATTGTACACACATGTATACTCAGGAAACATTTATGCAGAAGAAAAGCAATGCTTAGTGAAGTTAACAGGAAGAAAAGATTGTAATTTGACAAGAAGGATAAGGACAAAGATATTGAATTCTGGAAGAATGTAGTTTTTGTAGATGAGAGTAAATTTGATTTATTTTAAAGTGAAACCAATCATCATTATGAAGAGAAGACCAAATTCAGAGTTAAATATGAAAAATAGCGATACTGTAAAATACTGGCAAGAATGTTATAGTATAGTGTGCAATGAAAACTTGACATTTTTTGACAGCAATATGAACAAAGATTTATTTAGATATTTTAAAGAATAATTGCCAATTTCAGTGCAAAAGTTGATTATTAGTAATAGTGATCCAAAGTTATAAAGCTTCAATTGTACAAATGTAGTTGTTATGCAATTGTGCCAAAATGCTTGCAAGGTTGGCACAAAGGCTCAAAGTTTCTCAATAATAATAGGATTACGCCTATCTTGAAAATGTAAAACCAGAAATTATCACACTGATAACATTCTTATTTTGAAGAATAGGAAAATATTCTCAGAGTTAGCTAAAAAAAAATTGTTTTGTCCATGCCAGAGACAAAAACAATCAAAAAAGAAAAGAAAACACACAAAATATTGAATTAATTTTCATATTTATTAAACATTTGTTTTAAATTTTCAAATTAGAATTTTATTATAAGATGGAGATCCTCTGTTGCTCTGTTATTATAAGATGGAGATCCTCTGTTGCTTTTGCTCTTTTAATACAAAGGTCACAACTTTAGGTTTATAATATTGATGTATAACATTTTAAGTTTTTTCGAACAAAAATATACTAGCAGGAACACATTGAAATTGATGGTTTCATTCAATTAAAATACAATGAGCTTGTTTAAAATTTGACATTACACAAATCATCAGTACAGCAAATGTCTTCTGGGCTGTTTGCTGGTGATTTGCATCTACCTGTTTTCTGATACCAAGATGCTTCTTTCAATTTTGCATCCAACCCTGTTTTAGTGTCAAGATTCCTGATCAGCATGATATAGCTCAATCTTTAATGTTGACTTATGTGGTGAAATTCCACTCATCTCAATTGTGTGCAGAAATTCTATCGGGTATTTGGTGTTTGTTCTGATCATCAGAAATTATTCTGTCTAAGCTCAAATATTTTTTCTTCTCCAGATAAATGATAAAATTGTTGCTACCCTATCTGGAAATACTTGGATACAAAATGGTTTGACATCTCATTTCATCAAATGTTAGTGAGTTGTTGTCTGAGCTAAAAATTTCTTCTATGAGGTTGCTATTTGACAACATTTCTTGTGTACACATGATTGAGCTTTCAATCATGGTTGCTCTTGTTCTTGCTGCTCAACCTTTGCCATCATTCTGTAACAGCATGCTAAGGTATTCACCTCAGCAATCATATCATCATCATTAGTTCTGGATTGCAAGTCTCATTTCTAGACATTCTGATGTTTTGTTTCTATGGTGTTTATAATGTAAAGCTTAGCATATGTTTGCTCTTCAAGACCCTAGTTGTAAAGAGGCTGTCCATTGATCTCAAACATGTTTGGTCTGTGGTCAGCTGGAGCTATGGTCTCATCAATGAAGGAAGCAAACGATAACACACTGTTGTACCTTTTTCTAATTATTTAGATATTCTTGAGTAGTTTACTTTTTCCATGCAGAATGTTTTCATGAACCTTATCAGAATAGGTGGAATACAACTTTACATTTCCATTATAGCAACAGTTGCTAAAATGAAAGTTGTTTCTACTACTAACTTTTTGCATTCAAAATGTAAAATCAAACAACTTGGCACATGTGATAGCAGTCCAAGATCGAAATAAATTAGTTGAATGTTCAGTTTGAGGACTGTTTTGAGAAGATGCAGCCTTGCATTTGTGGCTAAAGGAATGACTAATTGCTCAATCTCACCCCTAAAATCTGACACAAAGTCTAAATTAACAGCTTGCTGTAATGTGTAAACGGTTCCAATTCTAACATGTTCTAGAGCCTCTGTGATATCAAGAATTTGTCTTTCTTGAGAAAAAGAACGACTTCTTCAATCATTATTGTCATAACACATCATCTTTGTGCGGCTTTGTACTTCTGATATCAGATGCATTTTCTAACACTGGTAAAGTGTTTTCTTCTTTGGTTTCTTGGCTGAGGATTTTCATTACTTTGAGCTACATTAGAATAAGTTCCATTTCAGTTGCCTATCTAGATGTTGAGGGTTGCTTCTTTTTGCTCATTTTCCTCAGTGTTAAATAAGAAAATGAATGGTTAAATTAAAAATAGGCTAATTGTAATGTAATTAGTATGTTAATTTTACCTTAAAGTAAGCTATTTATCTTGATTATTGATTGATGATTAAAATAAATGATAAAACTGGAAAATAATCAAGTATGATTCAGTAACCTTATATGTAGTCCAGCAGGATTACATTAGGAGACTAATTCAAAAAAAAAAAAAAAAGCATTCAGAAAATTAACTTGTTTATAACAGTTACAGTGTTATTATAAGTACTTAACCTCTAAACAGAAACATTGGTCTGTGAGACTGTTGCTGTTATGTTATGCTACAATGTAGCAGAACTGTTCAAACTTCAATCTGCCCTTCCATGGTATCTTATCATCAACCACTTGCCTACACTATGAATGTGTTACTGTTCAGTTTGTGACCAATTGTTTCAAGATACATATAGCTTTTTAAAAATGTGAAGATCTTACTGACTGGGTGTTTCATATTATGTATTGAGTGTAGAGGTACAGTATGTATGTATGTATGACTGGATGTTTCATATTTGTACTTTATATAGTTTTCAATTGCTACTTTTGTTACTTCATAATAAGCTTTTTCTTAATTTTAGAACTCTTTATTATGGATATTCCATCAACAGTACTGGTAAATCAACAAAAGTATAATTTATTTGTGAAATTGTCACCACTCTCTGTTGGATCCACATATCAGAAGATATAGTATTCCTAATCTACTCAGAGATATTACAGCATTTATATGGGAGGCAATACTGGTATATGAAAATACTGTTGCTAGAGGTGATCAAGTTTCAGATAAGCATGAGAAGAGAAAGATCTTTTCCAAGCATCTATCTTCCAAGAACAAAAAATTTCCTAAAAGTATCAAATGTAACAATCTAAATTGTCCAAAGTGCTGCAGAAAAGTTTGCATCAGATGTGCAATAACAAATTACTAAAAGTTAGGATTTATTAAAAAGTTTCCTTAGTTTTGCTCCTATAAAATTAATTTTAAAATAACTTTGAATTACTAATCACAATTTTGCATTTTTATTGCCCAAAAACATCAATAAACTCATGTATAGTAACAAACATATAAGATCTCTCAGAGCAATGTTTCCAATTATGTAGTAGGAACATATGCTTCTGTTTAGAGGCTAATGTTAACTCTAAACTCAAAATTTCTTCTTGCTATGTACCTACCTGGATATGAAATTGTTTTTTCCCTTGGGTTAGTCTTTAGTGGTGGGGAATGATTCAGTCTCCTTCCCAGTAGTGGAAAAGTTCAGATTTGTTTTAGGTGTGAGACCATTCTCAACAAGATTCTTCTTGCACAGAACTTCCTGATTCTTTCAATCAGGAAGTTCTGTGCAAGAAGAATCATGATTGTCTTGCTATTATTTGTGCAGTTGTTTCTCAATTATTATGCTTTTAATTATATTTGCTGTTTTATAATATTCAAAAACACTTATTTTGTGCTTTTTATTTGAAATAAAATTATTTGGTAGGGAGCACTTGTTTCTAAAAAGTGAACTAATTCTTACTTAAAAAATTGCTAACAAAGAGTAAATTATGCTTTTGTTCAGGTTCAAGAGTATTAATTATTCTCTTTAGCTGTTGGTTCTGTGATGATTTTTCTCTTTTGTTTAGAATAATTTACTTGTTTATTTATAAGTATATCTGCAGTTTCCAAAGTGTGGATTATGAGAAAAGCTACGAGTGGTTGCAACAGGTTATACAATTACTTGACATGTTTGTCCCGTAGACTTAACATTATACATTTGCCACTCTGCCATGCCTGAACCATTGCACCTTTCTCAAATCTTTCTTTAGCAGCATCAACTATAGGGCAAGAGTTTTAATTTGATATCTAAATCATATTTTTAGCCCCAGCCATTTACTCTCACTAAATCAGAAAACTGAAATCCTTTTTCAATTAATATATAGATTTATTGTTTTAGTATTCATTTTGTATTATTAGAATTTAGAATGTACAGTAGAACCCCCTATAACATGGATGTTATACGGCAAAAAAATTGCGATCGTGCTTGTATAACATGCTAAAAGAGATTCGTATGTTATACGAATCTCTTTTAGCGTGTTATGGGCGTTACGAATCTCTGTTAGCGTGTTACGACAGGATTGGTCGAATCTGGACCAATAGTGGATATTGCACAAACCGTTGAGTTTAAACAAGCACTGAACCTACTAAAAAACATTTATTATTCAAAGGCATAAAAATTATATTTTTATGCCGTTAGATTCGAACCTGCCCACGAAACACACAACGTAAATAACACACAGTCTCGTGCGGTAGTTGAGTACAATCATCACCCCAACTCAGTTTATAGGGAGATTGCCGCCCATACTAACACTAAGATTGCATACAAGAGGCCTAGCACTATATGGGCTACTCCGCGGTGGCAAAGACAAAATCAATAAGAAGCAAGCACCGGGTGTTTACATGGTCCCTCTATGGGACAACAGGTTTCAAAGGGAATTAGTTTATATTGGGTCCACAAAACGCTCTTTGAATAAAAGATTGCAGGAACACAAATACAACATCGTTAATAAACGGCACACCACCGCCCTATCAACATATGCCACTGAACCCGGCATAAGAGCTGACCTACATGAGTCCAAACTGATCAAACTTTCTCACCGGGTGGAACATCTGCGAAATCTGGAGGCACTGGAAATTTACAAAGCTGGGTTACGCACCAATTGCATTAACGCTAATGATGCGGTCAATGTGTCGTGCGCTTGGAAGTACTGCTATGAGGTAACGGGAGACGCCCACTCCAGCAATTAAAGACCACATCCCCGTTTGGTGTATTTATTTATATATATTTATACAGTGGCGTACCGTGGGTGTCAGCCGCCCGGGGCAGGGGAAAATTTCGGCCTCCCTTATTTAGGTATTACAATTTAAAAGACGAAAATTCAGTTTTGTCACAGAACAAGCAATGAAAAATTCGGTGGTAGTGCCGCGACCTGTTTAAAATAGTTCTATTGGATATTCGTGGTGTATACGAAAGTGAATGAATCGTACAAGCAAAAAAGAAGGTCAACAAGTTTCGCAGGAATTCCTCGGACGAAAAAGTTACTAGTTCACCCGGTGAGCCGGTTCCCGGACTGTCCAGACGATACCACTATCGTAGGCGCGATGCAAGTATAGATTAGGATGTTTCAAATTTTTACAAGATATTAATATTATTTATTGTGAAATTTTGCCGACCCCTAAAAGGTAATTTTGCTGCCCCCTAAAAAGTGCCGCCCGGGGCGGGCCGCCCCCACTACGGTACGCCACTGTATTTATATAATTGTATGTATTATGTGACCTTTCGGGTCGGCACCTCTTTGGTACCCTGTCAGGATTGACACCACCGTGTTTCTCGAAACACGGAAACCGAGACAGCGATTACGTCACGCCGTCGCACGAGCGGTTCCGTACGTGGTCAGACGGATTCGTAATGTCGATTCGAGAGACAACATTGGAAGTGACTCAGATACACTTAACAATTAACAAGGGTTTATTTAAAAATCTATTGGAAAAAGGATTGTCGCGGAGAGAGAGAGTTCACATACGATTCGCGGGATGATAAATACCTTTGGTAATAGGTCCCGGTCGGGTCTTGTTGAATCGGATTATAACAGCTTCCTATGGGTTTTTAAGGTTTCTGATTCGTTATCCAGGCGATGCACTAACACACACACACACACACACACACACACACACACACACACAGACACACAGACACACAGACAAGTTTATCCTATGGCGATTAATTCAGATTCTTTAATGGATGATAATTGAAGGGAGGACGACTTCTTTCCTCTCTGAGGACTAAGGCAGCGACTAACTCTTTTCGGCCGTCCCTGAGGATATTCACGAGTGATTTCGGCCGTGCAGAGGTTAATAGTTCACGAGAAAGCGTCATGTTGCTTTCGAGAAAATGTAACGGGAGACTTTCTCAGGTAGCTAAGAACAACAATTGTTGCGTAATTCGCGAAATGTTATTATTAAAGAGTATTTCTAATATAAGAATTTCTGCTATCTCACATATTACATATGCCATTCCGTCGCCATGGCAATGCACATGCATAACTGTATTCTTTTAAAATCCGTTTGGGCTGTTCCATTTTTTCAAAATTAATTTCATAATCATTGTTCTATGCTTGCACAGGTTCGAATCTAACTGGTTTTTAAACCTGATGAAGACCGAAAGTACGGTTGAAAACATTTGTTTATTATTAAATTGAGTACTACTGGACGTTTAAAGGTTTTGGAGTTTTAATTTAGTCTGACCTGTTCCTACAGCCTTGTGTTGAATAGTAGATGTGGCTACTATTTGAGGATTTCTGAAAACTTAATGAAATAGTGTAAAATTAATAAGTACTGAAAACTACAGTGTAGGTATGTATTATACAGTATTTATTTAACAAAAACTATAATAGTTAAACATATTTAAAATGAAATATATAAAATGTGCAATATATAGTAGGTGTACCTTCTAGTTAGTTTCTTATTACTGGTATATAGAGGTAATATTCATTATAAAACAAGCTTGGTCAAGCTGATCTGATAGCATGCTCCACAAAAGTGAATCAAATATTAATTTTGTTTAAAGTAAATTTTATAAATTCTTGGAATCAAGTAGTAGTTGTGCATGTGCATGGACATGAGCAATTAATGGATTGAACAGAGCATGTGCATGCAAATTGACAGATCCACATCTGAACAACATACAAAAGATCTAACATAATCAATTCTCCACTATAGTGGAGCATGCTAAAAAGATAAATTATACTAGAAATGGCAACTGTTGTTTTAAAAATCAAGACTTTTGTAAATATTTAGATACTTTATTAATAACAGACCTCAAATAAGTATGTGCAAAGGAAATAACATCTCTCATACAGTAACTGCAGAAAAAATATGTAGTTTAAAATCATAGCCATGGCAATTATTCAAAACCAGTATTCTCACTATGCTATTTAGCCCTATTGCAACTTTAAAATATTGTTAAAATTTAGTACTGAATTTCAATCACCAAAACTAGAATTTGTAATTTAATTTGTACTAATTATGAAAGTAATACATCAGTGGCGTGCCGTCATTAGAAGCGTTGGAAGCACCGCTTCCCTTGTATTCTCTAAAAAATAAATAAATATTAATTTTAATTATATGAAAATAATCGCACAATATTTTATTATAACCGCATTATGTATCTTATTACAAATTTCTATACTACACGTGGAAAAAAACAAAACAAAAAATTGCTATTGTATATTAGAATATTAGTGACGGAGTGTAATCTCCTGTATTTTCAGATTACGAAAAGCCAGATTTGCGCATGCGCTTTACAGAGCACCAACCTCACCCGGTTTAGCCGGTGGAAGCCTACGACCTTGGGTGAAAGCTGCACACATATAAAGATTCCAATTCTATCAAGGACCGGTTCTGGGCTGTTAGCCGCCTGCCCACTAGATATTTCGATTACGTGAATAACGAGTAGATTTATAACTTAACCCAACCGATAAGAATTTACTGGTATGTTTTTACGATAGTTCTGTATAGTTGACAGGAGTTTAAAAAATCCATTAAAATATTTGATATATTTATTCCGCTCTCCGATTTTATATTACTCACGGATTTCGATGTTAAACCAGTGATATTACGATTTCGTACATCCCATCTTTAAGGGGATGTAGAAAAAAACGTGTACAATTCTTGTATAATGTTAAAAAATTAACCGTTACTTCGACAGCGTCATTTACAACTAAATTTAATGAATGAGAGAGATGCACCAGGTACAGAAAAGGCTCTAGAATTTATTTTCCTTAAATTTACGATTTATGTATCCGTTGTCGTAAAAATTTGTCTTTCCACTTTTTTCCCGAGACTACAAATATTCGAGTACAAAGTAACTGGTTTCGACTTATTTCTACTTAAGAAGTAGTTAAATAATTAAGCGATTAGGGAATTGGGGACGTAAACAAAACCCTGATGAAAGAGCCGGAATTTTACTTAAACAAAAGCCTAACCGGACCAATATCTAGCCGAGTACAGTGGGACTGATTTCTTCGTAATATTAGATGTAATAAAGACAGAAATTTTTCCAGTTCAATGAAAGTGAGTAAAAGTTGTAAATTTTGGAAATTTCCGTGGACACCTGGTCTTAAAACGAATTACAGTAGTTAGAAAACAAATGACTTTTAAGTTTAACAAATTTAGATTTTTACAGCTATGATGAGAAACGTTTAAAATTTACAACAACCCTGTCGCGTCCTTTGAGATATACTAGTGATGAGACAAAAGAGACATTAACCGGTATCGGCACCCTCGGGATTTGGCAAGCATGCACCGCACCGCACACCTACCAAGACCGTCTCTGATTCCATCCACGAGCCACTGGTAGGGAGCAATTTTAACTAGGTGGATTGTTTTAATATTTAAAAAGTAAAGACTATTTTATGTTATTTTTATGTACGTTTCTTCACAAAACTATATTTATAATTTTCTTTAAAAGTATATTCATACAATTGAATATTTTGTACCAGGTATGTATAATTGTATATCATCACACATTTTATTTTAACAAGTAAGTTTTTATAATTTTATTTTTAATTTTAGCCCTTATATTATAGCTAGCAATTTAGAATGTAATTGTGATATCGAAAATTTATTTCAAAAAGTTTTGGCTCGAGACCATATAATGAAAAAGAAAAAATTTGTTCGACATTTTCATGATAAAATTTATGAAGATATAAAATGGCTTTGTGGATGCATAAAAATGCAAAATTTGTTTTGTTGGCCTTGCCTACTATTTTCAAATAAAATTAGTGTGTAGAATGAGATTGGCTTTGACGATTTAAATAATTTGAGTAAAGCTGGCAAAAGACACGAAAATCCTAAATCTCGCATCGATTCTTTCGTAAAATTGAAGCAATTTGGAAATCAAAATAGAATAGAATTTAACATTAGTACACAATATAAAATATATATTGAAAATTATAACAAGATAGTTACGGCTAATAGATATATTTTAATTAGTAGATGTTATCGAAGCGAGAATTGGCATTTAGAGGGCGTATAGAATCTATTAAATCTAATATAAGAGAGTTAATTATATTGAACTTGCTTATTTATTAAGTGCGTTAGATAATCTATTAATTAAAAATACATTTAGAGAAGTCTACGGTTTTTACTGGCTTATCGAACAAACGAATACGAATGGACCCTAGACCATTGCTGACTGATTGCCCCTGGAAGTCGGCTTCTTATAGAAACACAGCTTCCCTATCATCAAATGTCACGGCACGCCACTGTAATACATGTATAAAAAATTATAAACACTTACTTACAGAGTGTTTCAGAAGTCTGTGTGCAGATTCTGCTAATGACTTCAAATGCTGACAGTTAAGAGAAAGTAAATTTTTTTTATTTTTTTTGCTTTCAGAATTATTCATGATGACTGTTAGAAGAAAAGTATGGCTTGTTTACCAGAATGAATAGTATGCTTTCTTCTAATAGCTATTGTTGAATTTAATTCTATGAGCCAAAAAAAATGCAGTGTAGTTGCTCTTTAAATGTCAGTTTTGCAGTCAGTAAAAGAAACTAAGATCATAAATAAAATAAAATTAGTTCTACATTCATAAAATCATTACATAAAACACATCAAAATATTATTTACTTTGTAGTTTTAACATTTGTAAATCTTTAGTTATTGAAGCATAAAACTTCATTCAGACTTTAGGATCACCTTGTATTTTAAATATACAGGAAATGACATTTTTTGATATATCACAATGCTGTTTCTGTAATTTGACTAGAATAATGATTTGCAAGAATAAAGTTAAGGGTAAATAAACATGCTCAACTTGACTACAATTAAATAATTTCAAAGTTTATTCCAAAAATACATTATATATATACACATAAGCACTTCTTACACACCAGTTATTGTCATTTCAAAAAGTATGTAAACGAGTATTATATAATTCCTAACTTTTTTTTATTGTAGTTTATATTATATTCTTTTTAATTGTACAAGGTGATTATAATTAAAGTTCCACTTTGAAATGGCCATAAAATGAAAACTACTGGTCAGAATGTTATCAAACTAGGTAATAGTGTACAGGATGTCATGAGATTTTATTTCCTGCAAAAAAAAAAGTTCAAAAACTCACCACCAATGGGAAATTGCACTGTCTGCAATATTGTTAAACGAAATAAGACATGAAGACATTATTGAAAATGTTTTTTAATCGGTTTTAAAATGCATTACAGAGCATGTTCAATGTGGTATCCACCATTTTTGATAAGCAAGTTACATCACATTACTGTGTTCTCAACAGTAGCTCTGAGCATATCACTTTCTTCCTCCGTAAGCCATTGTGATTTTGCATAACCCCACAAACAGTTTCATTTTAAAACCGATTAAAAACATTTTCAATGATATCTTCATGTCATATTTCATATAACAATATTGCAGACAGCACCATTTCCCGTTGATGGTGAGTTTTTGAAATTTTTTTGCGGAAAATAAAATCCCATGATATCCTGTAAACTATTACCTAGTTTGATAACATTCTGTAAAGTAGTTTTCATTTTATGGCCATTTCAAAGTGGAACTTTAATTATAATCACTCTGTATTTTAATTTATTTGTCAATCATTTTGTTATTCTTATGTATTTTATATGGTGTTTAAATGTTAATTAGAGGGGAGGAAATCTATTGTCATAAGACTTTTCCGAATGTGATTGAAATAAATAAATAATCATAGCTCCAAAAAGTTCCCAAAATTATCGACACACACTGGAAGAATACGATAAAATTTCTACAAATCTATAACCAGCGTGAAATATGCTCAATTGCTTACGCAAACGTTTTTGGATCCCACTGGATCCTTCATCAGGCTATGTTCCATTTGCAACGATCCGTTAGAATGTCAGCTGTCTTTGGAACGAAATTTCAAAAATCGTATTTCGCATTCCATTTGGAATCACGTGCCTTCCAACTCAAAACTCCAGTTGCTACCTAACGATCTTCTTCTTGTATGTCAGATTATATATTTTTCATGAATAAATTTGTTTAAGTGTGTCAGAAGTCGGAGAAAATGCGTGTAGCTATTTTTAACTTATTATAAGTACCAATGTCATTTTAATTTGAATCTCCTTTCCGTATTAGGGCTTGCCATGCCAACGATGACGTGATTTCATCTTTGGAATTAATGGGGGTTGATGAGTCGTAGGCTTTGCATATTTCTATTTGTTCTAACCATCTGAGTTGGTCCACATATGACGTTGTGATAAGGAGTTTGGCCCTCGCGAAGTCTGCCGATATCTCCGGATCCAATGCATATACAGATAAAGCGGTGGTACATCTGTTGTGTATAATGTCCTTTTGGTGTTCCTTCCATCTTACTCCAACCGCCCTTTTCGTGGCTCCAATGTATACTAACTCTCTGTCGCATCTATGGTCGGTGAGAAACACTGCATACACCCCAGGAAGTCTGTCTCGACCCGGCTTGTCTTTCTCATTGCGTAGAAGATGATAAATAGATGGGCATCTTCTGTACGCTATGCGCACTCCTTGTTGTCTCGCGATTCTACGATACACGGAATCTAAGATCGGGTTGTATGTGACCGGTATGATGCGGTGTTCCTGTTGTATGCCATCCCCATTAGTGGTAGCAGATGGTGGTATTCCAGCGTTGTGTTGTCTTGCCAATTTCTGTACTATGTTGTTGAAGCCATGTAGGTAGGCTGGCCACCTTTTGGAGATATCTCATTTCTTTATCCAATGCCCTCTGTGTAGAGCAGTGCATGTGTGCTCTTTTGACAAGTGTCCTAAATGCTGACAATTTGTATCCGATCGGGTCGCAAGAGTCCGCCAGTATATACGTTGGGAAGTCCGACTCCTTTCGGTATATAGATGTGCTTATGCTAGATCCTCTTGCAATGCTCACATCCAGAAAGTGGACCGTGGAATCACTATGCTGTTCCAGCTCGATAGTTAGGCCATACGGGTTGTTGTTTACCTGATCCACAAAGCGGTTGATGTCATGGTCATTCCTCCACAGTATAATGATGTCATTGACGTAACGCTTGTATAAAATGATGCTGTTGAAGAAATTCGGAATTATCTTTTCCTCCAGTTGTTGGATGACGAGTTCGCATAGATCTCCGGAGACCGCGCTACCCATGGGTACACCTCTGCCCTGGTTATAAGTGATTCCATTGAACTGGAACACGGAGTTGTAGCATACCAAGTGTGCCAACTCCAGAATTTGTTGGTGTAAACGTTCATCATTCACGTATTGCGAAAGAAAGTCTCTGATGGCACAAAAACAAGGTGACAACTCAATGGAAGGGTATAATGACCGGAAATCCATGATCGATATGTAAGCTGGTTGTTCAGTACGTTTGAGGATTTCTATTAATTCATTCAAACCGGAAATAGTATATCGGTGTCCTTGTAACTGTGGTGAGATGATGTGATGCAAAGCCTCCTCCAATTTGCAGGTGGGAGATTTAGCTTTATCAACAACAGGTCTTAGCTTCTGTCCTTGCTTATGAATTTTCACAAATGCGAACAGTTTGGGGGTGTCTGATGCGTCCATGACTATATCCTGCATCCCTAGCCTCTTCACCAATCTCGAGCCTGAAAAGCGTTTAACTCTGGCGTGGAGTTTTTCAATCGCTCCGATTTCCTGCTCAACGCATCTGGTATCCTCGATATATTCGTACAACTCCCTTTCGTAAGTTTTCCTTTTCATCACTACCAATGCCTTGGTTTTATCAGCCTTAGTGAATGTGATGTTATTATCGTGGCTCCATCTAATTGCACTTGATATGTCCTCTTTGAATCGATACACTCGTGTTGACTACTTGATGTTTTTAATTTTGTAGGTGGCCATCCATCTGTAATATTCTTTTTGTATATTCGACATGCCTGTATCACTCTTTCGACGTCTGGGATGCACTTATTAAGCATCTCCCTTTTGGCTGGTGTAGGGGCATATGCCGGGCCAAATCTCAGGATCCTTTGGACATGTTAAGGTACCTGTATATCATCCCATACCACAAAGGTACAATCCTGCCTAAAGCGGTTGGCCGGAGTTTGATACCGAAGGATCCAGTTAAGTTTCTTGCGATATCTCATTCTAAGATTATAGCTAAGCCTTTCTTGAATCAGTGCTATTTTTGCATTCTCCACTTTAAGCTGTTGTAGATCTCTTTGGAACATGGCATTCTCTGTATTTATAAGCCGTGTCAAGTTGGAATATACTAGTTTTCTGGTTGTCCTAATTGCCCTATTCATGCACATCTATCTGATTCTGTCTATCAACGTCATGGATGCACCAGACACCTCCAAACTGTTCGCATTTGCAAAAACTCATAAGCAAGGACAGAAGCTAAGACCTGTTGTTGATAAAGCTAAATCTCCCACCTGCAAATTGGAGGAGGCTTTGCATCACATCATCTCACCACAGTTACAAGGACACCGATATACTATTTCCGGTTCGAATGAATTAATAGAAATCCTCAAACGTACTGAACAACCAGCTTACATATCGATCATGGATTTCCGGTCATTATACCCTTCCATTGAGTTGTCACCTTGTTTTTGTGCCATCAGAGACTTTCTTTCGCAATACGTGAATGATGAACGGTTACACCAACAAATTCTGGAGTTGGCACACTTGGTATGCTACAACTCCGTGTTCCAGTTCAATGGAATCACTTATAACCAGGGCAGAGGTGTACCCATGGGTAGCGCGGTCTCCGGAGATCTATGCGAACTCGTCATCCAACAACTGGAGGAAAAGATAATTCCGAATTTCTTCAACAGCATCATTTTATACAAGCGTTACGTCAATGACATCATTATACTGTGGAGGAATGACCATGACATCAACCGCTTTGTGGATCAGGTAAACAACAACCCGTATGGCCTAACTATCGAGCTGGAACAGCATAGTGATTCCACGGTCCACTTTCTGGATGTGAGCATTGCAAGAGGATCTAGCATAAGCACATCTATATACCGAAAGGAGTCGGACTTCCCAACGTATATACCGGCGGACTCTTGCGACCCGATCGGATACAAATTGTCAGCATTTAGGGCACTTGTCAAAAGAGCACACACGCACTGCTCTACACAGAGGGCATTGGATAAAGAAATGAGATATCTCCAAAAGGTGGCCAGCCTACCTACATGGCTTCAACAACATAGTACAGAAATTGGCAAGACAACACAACGCTGGAATACCACCATCTGCTACCACTAATGGGGATGGCATACAACAGGAACACCGCATCATACCGGTCACATACAACCCGATCTTAGATTCCGTGTATCGTAGAATCGCGAGACAACAAGGAGTGCGCATAGCGTACAGAAGATGCCCATCTATTTATCATCTTCTACGCAATGAGAAAGACAAGCCGGGTCGAGACAGACTTCCTGGGGTGTATGCAGTGTTTCTCACCGACCATAGATGCGACAGAGAGTTAGTATACATTGGAGCCACGAAAAGGGCGGTTGGAGTAAGATGGAAGGAACACCAAAAGGACATTATACACAACAGATGTACCACCGCTTTATCTGTATATGCATCGGATCCGGAGATATCGGCAGACTTCGCGAGGGCCAAACTCCTTATCACAACGTCATATGTGGACCAACTCAGATGGTTAGAACAAATAGAAATATGCAAAGCCTACGACTCATCAACCCCCATTAATTCCAAAGATGAAATCACGTCATCGTTGGCATGGCAAGCCCTAATACGGAAAGGAGATTCAAATTAAAATGACATTGGTACTTATAATAAGTTAAAAATAGCTACACGCATTTTCTCCGACTTCCGACACACTTAAACAAATTTATTCATGAAAAATATATAATCCGACATACAAGAAGAAGATCGTTAGGTAGCAACTGGAGTTTTGAGTTGGAAGGCACGTGATTCCAAATGGAACGCAAAATACGATTTTTGAAATTTCGTTCCAAAGACAGCTGACATTCTAACGGATCGTTGCAAATGGAACATAGCCTGATGAAGGATCCAGTGGGATCCAAAAAACGTTTGCGTAAGCAATTGAGCATATTTCACGCTGGTTATAGGTTTGTAGAAAGTTTATTGTTCCCAAAATTGTTTTAGAAAAACAGTTACAGTATAAATCTTATTACCTTCAGTTGCTATAGACTTTTGCCAATATTCATAAAGCTATCAGCCTTTTTTTCATTTAATAATTGTATATACAGTAGAATGTAAACAGCATTTTTTAATAATTTAGATACTAGTCATTGCAAATATTTAACTTAATAGCTGTATTATTTTTTTTCAAGAATTTTAGTATCACTAAAAAGTTTAACTTAAATTTATGTTTATCATCTGTCACTTTTTTGGTAAACCTAGTATAAGTTTGTTTATTAGGCAGTTGCAAGAAATATACTTATATCTAATTTAATAAAATAAGTTAAAAATTACACAAATATTATAAAAGGTGATACATAAAAATCTGGACTGTGGTTGTGCATACTACTAGAACACATTTATTGAAAATTGTTCAGTTCAATGTGCAAAGACATTCTTGTGGAGTATGACATTAGTTAAGGTCTTGTTCTAATGCTGTGTATGTAAAATGAAGCCTAGTAAGCAGGTGATCTTCAATGTGTAGGATAAATGATGGAGCAACATCCAGAATTCTCCAAATCAAATATTGCACAATTTCTTCTTGAAGGTATTTCAAAAAGTACAATCTAAGTCATCAAAGCAAGATTATGAGAAAGAGATTCTAATGAGTAAAAAGTAAGAAAGTGAATGACAAAAAGAAAGATAGCATTGCTGAAAAAAAGGCATTCTATAACAGAGATGGCATTAGAGAGAGAACTGCTGCTTCAACTATAGTCATTTGTGAATTTTGAAGTTAGTTATCAATCTGATTGAGAAATCTGATGTTATAAATATTGATATGAAAAACACAGCTACAGTTATGAATATTGATTGATATGAATGAAGAAAAAAAGTCCACCAGATCCAGATTACATAGGAAGAAAAACTTCCATAACTTCTAAAAGGAAGGAATAATGATGAAGACTATTATTTCTTCTTGAAAATATGTTATAAAGCATCTCTTCTCAATGAAAATTATTAATATCATCTCAAACAACCTTACCTGATTCAACAGAGTAGAAAGCCCATGAAGTCACTTCGAATGAATATTTTAAGTTATATTGATATTTCATTGTTTTCCTGAAGTTGTCATAATCTAGGTAAGATCATCCAAAGATTACTATAGATTATGAAATAAAATACAAGTGGTGGCTAAATAAAAGTATAAGCTGAATACTTTTTTAATAAATTTTTCCATTCGGTTACTTTAATTAGCATTTTCAGCTTTGATCCAAATAAAGAACAATATAATTTAAAATTTGGAATACAGCTGTTCAACACATTAAACAAGTAACACTCACATTCATTGTTAGTCTAATTTTAAGTGTGACAGAAAATTAAAATTGATAGGAGTGAATTTAAACTGTTAATTTGTCAGATATTAAATATTATAACAACACATCTACTGTACATTCATTCTGTTGCACACATTTTGAATTTTTTCACTCTAAATATAACTTCATTCTATTACCTATTTGCAAAAATTTTCAAAATGTAATAAACCATATTCCTGCAGAATATGAATATCATTAACTTTAGATAAAGACAACTTCCAAAAATTGAATGAATAATACATTCTCCACAAACTCTCCCATCAACACAAATTCTCAAACTGAAGATTAATTTACATATTACTGTGTAATATTAAACACTGCATGATATGTTTAATTTCTTAAAAATTAGAAATTCTGACTGTATGAACAAAAAATTATTTTTAAATATTATCAAAACAAATTAAACTAAATTTCACACAAATTAAAGATATAAGTAAGTTATTTTATTCAGTAACCCATTCAAACTATTTACATTGTTTCATAAGTAAAGTAACAGAGAATAACAAAGACATGAAAATGGAAAGCAACATGTGATGCAACACACAAGTACCAAAAAATCCAGCAACAAGTTATTAAACTTTCACAGCAATGTTTAGTGGTGCCATCTGTTATAATATTTTAATTATAAAACTTTTTTTTAACCATTATAAAATAGAAAAATTTTGCTTAACTTAAAAGCTTAACTTTGAGGGTAGGGATGAGTTCTAAAAAAATGTAAATGCTAATAACAAGTAAAATCGTCATCAAGTCCAACCTTACTGGAGATACACACAACCCCCCTTTATCTCCCCACCCCTCAACCTTTAACTACCAAAAATTAATAGCGTTAATCCTCCTAATAAACAAACCTCCCTGCAAAATGTCAGAAATTTTTGACAAAAAGCATAGGAATTATTAAGCTTCAGAGTGAACAAAATCATGCCCCCCCATACACACTAACGTCCATACTAGTGATGTGCCAGATATCTGTATCCATATCCGTGGATATCCAAGGGAAAAAAAGATCCGTATCTGTATCCATTACTTTTTAGCAGATCTTTAACGGATCTTTTATCTTAATGAATTTAATTACTTATATAAAATTTTAAAGATAGGTAGCAATAAAATACTAATAACTTCAACTCACATCACTTTTTATTTCTTAAAATCACATATTTGGCACATTCATATTGCAAAAATTTTATCATGTTTATCAATTTTATCATATTGCAAAAATTTTATCATGCAAAAATCATTTACTATCGTAAAATATTTCCATATTACACTGCTAAACTTTTTTGTCGACCTTGTTTTTATTTTAATTTAACTCAACACTCTCCAAAAACACAAACATAATCTATGCTGTTCCGTGTCACACTAAACTATAAACAAAAACACGCACAATACAAGTCAAAACACGTCGCATTACAAAGCATCAACTATCGGTCCAAGGTCACACGCACCAGCGCTGACTGAGTACAAAAGTTGAGATTCGTATCCGTATCCACAGATCTAGACACTAATGATCCGTATCTGTATCCGTATCCATGGATATACATTTTTAATGATCCGGCACATAACTAATCCATACATACAGAAAAAACCCCCAAATTTTTTGCATTTCTTGATGTTTCAAGGTCTAAAGTCCAAAAATGTAAAAATCTGGGGGGGGGATCATTTTTTGACCAATCGCCATACTTTCCCTCTGTTATATATAACAGCCAAGAAAGTAAAATTGACAGAAGCAACTATTCTATGTATATAGTCATCAAGTAACAAAAGTGCATGTAGCTTTCAAACTTGTTTGAAGTTTTTGTAAGATAATCCAATCATCATCAGCTATAATAATAATAATAATAATAATGAGTTCTTATTACAGGTAACCCCCGTATAACACGGTAGTTACGTTCCAAAAAATTGCTGTGTTATGCGAAACAAAGAACTAGTATGAAAAGGAGGGTTAGGTTCCAAAATTTAAAAAACATGCTATTATATTTTCATAATTAAGATAAGAAAATTTTAATAAAGGTATTTAAGTGATACATATTAATATAAATTAAACAATGTTTTCTTCGTCATCACTAAAAACACTATTAATTAACCGAGAGCGTTTTCTTTTTGGCAAGTTATCCTTATCCTCTGAGCATTTTTCTGCATTATCTTCAGATCCATGCTTTACCTTTTGCAAAATGTATAAAATTTTAGCTTGCTTGCTTCTAGTTAAAAGATCTTTATAAATTTCCTCATATGGTGCTAAGCACTTATGAAGAATAAAGCAAGTATAAAACAAGGGAAAAACATCTGGCAACATCAGAAGCAGAAGCGTCGAGATCTGGCAACATTGAAACAAGTTTCGAGAAGGACCACGTGTATTGACAGTAGGCGAGAAGAGAAAATTTACATACTTAAGTACTAATAGTTCATGAAAATTATTATTTTCGTGAACTATTATTACTTAAGTATGTAAAAATTTATTACATTTCATGTTGTAGGAGGGTTTTACCCAATTCTCGAACCGTGTCAGAGTGAAACCGTGCTATAACAGTACCGTGTTATACGAGGGTGGTACCAATTCTCGAACTATGTTAGAGTGAATCTGTGCTATAGAAGTGCTGTGTTATACAGGGGTTACCTGTAGTAAATTTCTTTTGATTGGTTATTATTTTTTAAGATATTTCTTAGTCTTAGAAAAATAATACACAAAAAGCAACTCTTCTTCATTAATCAAAATTTTTATTTGTAAAGGTATCATCTAGTATGATATTTATGTTTCATTTCATAAGAATCCAAACAACTTAATTTTTAGGTTTTTAAAGCAGTAATTTTGTTAAACAATTATTCTATCCTGTTTTATGTTCAGAAAAAATATAAACATGAGTAATAATATAATTTTTAACATCATAATAATTAATATTTAAAAATAAAATTCATTTATTATTACAAATGTAAAAACTAACATATAAGCAATAATTTCCATAAATAATCAATAAAATATGCAATTTTATATCCTATTCCATAAATAATCAATAAAATATGCAATTTTATATCCTTTATCATTTATGTTTCTTGTGAAACAAAATTAAACCACTGTTTTGTAAGTAGGCTATAAAGTATTATTTATGAAGTAAGTTTTTCTTGAGAGCATTTTTCAGTAATTTCTTTTTATAATCTTTGGATTTTTAGGTTTTTTTTCTTAATTCCCATATTTTGGAAAACCTTTAATAATTAAAATTATATAATTTTTTTTATACATAGAATGATACTTAAAAATCATTCTAATATATGTTTTTAGGAAGATGAATATAGAAATAACAGAGAATCCTATAAAACAACAGATAAGTGTAGAAGAAAAATTACAGACTGCAAAAAAATTTAAAGAGGTAACTAAATTTTTAATTTAAAATTTTATGATAAATTTTATTAAACAAATGATTTAATGAAAATCATTTATTTTTTTTATAATGCAAATCAATTGATTATCTTTAACTTTTTATAAATAGATTTATTGAAAAGTTATTAATTACATTGTTTTTTCTGGTGGTACAGAGATTAATAATGGAGATATTAAGCAGTAATAATAATAATGATGATTTGCCGAGGTAAGGTATCATCATAAGGAATAGATATATTAAAATTTGACATTGATACTGACAAAGTTCAATAAAAATTCTGTATTAATAATGTCATGCAAATATATACTAAGATACACAGATAAATGCCATTAAAATACTCAAAGAAAGAAAAGAGGATATTTAAAGTACAGTATTCAAAATTCATATACAATTGATATACTATATACAATTGAGTATCAGTTTTCCTAAATAAAATAAATTATTATTACTGTTCTCTCTTAATGCAAACTGTAATTTACTATGTGAAAATTTTTAAATATAAAATTTGAAATAAGAACAATTGTTATATAACTTTAGAAATGCTATTTGATTTTGGTCGTTTTGGGAAGATTCTTTTTGAGTATAGCAATGTGTATATATTGGTATGATAGAACTTTTTTCAATAAAGAATGTTATTTTTAGATTCTATTGATAAATCTTACCTGTTGAATAGGGATCCATAATTTAAGTGAAATGAAATTATAAAATTTATGAATTTAACTTTGAGATTTGGTAATAATAATTTTTATCCAGTAAATTTTGTTAAACTAAAATCTTATTATTCAATTCAGTTCAATTCAAATTTATTAGCAAAAGGGAGAGATTTCCCTGTTACAGAGGGTAATACATATAGATGGTATTAGTTAACAATTTTACTTTACAAAAGTATTATATTGATAATAAAACAATCATAATTTAACAGAACCGTACAGTCATTTTGCCTTATATCTTATAGACATGAACAGAATAAGTAAAAAAAACCGTAATANCATTTATATATATATATATCTCGCCGGGTAATGCGATAGCTGGCTGAGTGCCATTGTGGAGATGGTCTTAGGCCGTGGGCGATGGAGTCGTCCCGTCAGTGCCGTATTTAACCAAGTAAGGTTATATCTAATGTAATATACTTCTGGAAGCGAAGACTCGCTCAGGGTTCGGGTGGAGTAACTGGCAAGTTCACCGCACAGCAAGCAGAGGTTGTGGGTTCAAGCTTGTTAATGGCTTTAGTAGCTGTGGCTAAAATTTGTAAATTAAGGGAGGGACCTTTACAAGAGATAGTTTATGGTTTTTTGTAAGTGATACCCTATCTTATGTCTTATTAATAACTCTTTAATTGATCTTCCCTCTCCCTGTCCTGGGCCAGTTCTTTTTTCCAGAAGGTTCTAAATTTATTTAATAATTTATTTATTTAATTATAATTATTAATTTACTTAAGAGATGGCGCCTAACGTCTACCTCTAGTGATATCATATTGTTCACGCATATTTGTAAGTTCTTGGCAGTTTTGTAGAAGGTGGAATGCTGAGTCTTCAGATTGACATAAACAACAATGGGTATTTGAAAAGTTTATGTAGATATTATTGACAAAGAGAGAATATTTGTTAAGGTGTAGCTGGATTATTAGTCGTTTCACATTCAAATCAATTGGATGTCACATATATGGCTGAGAAGATGGGATTTCGAATGAGTTGGTGTACCAGGGATGATAATTACTATGGTTTAAAGAGAGCTGATCTTTATTTATAGATTGAGATATGGCAGAGTTTAATAGAAGAGTATAACTGTATTTCCAATCTTGAATGATATCTTTAAATAATACTTTTAATATGGCAAATGAGTTCAAAATTTTACATAATTTGTATTGTCAAAGCTGCTTGTAATTTATGTTTTTGCTCTGCTTGATTATTTCTTGATGTAGGAAAGTTATATTATTGTCACTTTTGAATTTGAGTCTATAATAAAATTTAATTATACGTTTTAATAGCAGGTGAAATGACTAGATACGATTTGTTTCATATCGGAGAGCATAACTGGGAATTGTTCTTTCTAGATGGAATAATTTACATAAGAAATAGACATGAAAGGACTTGAGTTTGTGTTGGGAGAACTAAGTGAAAAACCGTAGAGAACACGAGGGGGCGCAGTGGTTGTTGGCGCCAGGGTTGAAGGGTGGTAAGGTGAAGTGTGGAAAACGTGTCTAAAGTTCCTGTATTTTTCTTTGTTTAATATTCAAGAAGTAAAAGTTGTTAACTTATAACTGAAGGTGTGCTTCCTTGGTTGAGAGAAACAAAGTCAACATTAACAGTTTGTATAAATAATCCAGACTCCAGATAGGGCTTGCATAGTAAATAATAGGGTTGATTATAGAATTGTATAGTTTCATATGGATATTCAAATTAGAGGTTTTCAGGGTTAAGCATAGAAATACAAGGTTGTCGATAGCCTGCTTTACTTTGATGTTGATTCTTGAGATTTGAGCTTTGGAAGGTTACGTTCCAAACAGGGCTGTGGAGTTTTCGTGTTTTAGTCGAAGTCAGTCATCAAAAAATCCGCCGACTCCTTTTTACTTATCAACTTGTATGTACTGTATATAAAACGGAAAAGTATTGGAATCGTGTCAAATTTGACCTTCCAAGTTTTTTTGCAAATCTACACATTTGGAGACCTCCCAAATCCCTCAAAAAGGGAAAAAATTCGTGCGCATGTGTGTGTTGGCGTCTAATTTGTTTAATTTCTTTATTTTCTGTTCTGAGATATTGTTTAAGAAAGAAACAATAAGGTAAAGTTTAAGAAACGAAATGTGGCACTGTAGCTTGCGTATAACGGGGCATTAATACTATTAAATTTTGGTTCTTAATTAAAGGTCAACAGAGTGAAGGCATAAAAGTGGTCATGTGTCATATCTCTTAATGAATATTTTACTCGTTATTAGCATTCAAAATTAAAAAAATAAAATAAAATAAAACTCATCTCTATCCTCAAAGTAAGCTTTTTTGCCATTTTATAATAGTACAGTAAAACCGATTAAGATATTCTCGCCTACGATGTTAGAATGTGTATGGGGACATGATTTAGTTCAATCACTTTGACGCTTAATAACTAACTCCTGTGTTGAACCATCTGACTCTGATTCTGACCACTCTGATCACAGAAATTATTAGGCTTCAAACAGGGTGAACAAAATCATTCATCCCACACACAGCCTAACATCCACACACATAGAAAAAACACCTCAAACCTTTTTCCATATCTTGAAATTTCGAGGTGTCCTGAGTCCAAAAATGTAAAAATTTGGGAGGGTCATTTTTTGATTGAGCACTACACTTTTCCTCTGTTATATATAACAGCCAAAAAAGTAAAAATTATAGAATACATATTTATATATTACTTAGAACGTAGAAACTTTTTATTCCAAAGCAAAAAGACTCCTCTATCTTTATTAGAACTCTGTTTATTGAATCTTTTATTCTGAGGTCATGTGATGACATCAGAATTTCCGGGTCTCTTTCGGTAACAAGTCCGTCCCTGGTCGGAGTTGGTAGATTTTTACGCGACTTCACAGCCCTGATTCCAATCAAAGATGACACCCAGATAGTTTACTTCATTAACTGTTTGTAGTAGAGTATTGTCATGGTATATTTTAGTTTCTTTTTCAGATATTTTGCTATTATTGCGAAAAACAATAATGTTGGTTTTAGCCGGATTTATTACTAAGTGAATTGATTTAAAATAAAGATTTAGATGGTTAATTTTTCTTTGTAATGATATTTTGATGGTATGGTAATTAGTATTACTAGATCATCTGAGAATAGTATCTAGTGAAAGATTCTGTTATTTATTTCAATACCATTGGTAGAATTATGAAAAAGTTGATCAATGCTGAGTAGATAGAAATTAAATAAATATGGTGAAAGGGGATCACCTTGGAGAACACCACGAAAAAAAGTTAGAGAGGGGGAAAGGATCTTGTCTTGTTTGATCTTTATGTTATAATTTGAGAAAAGCTTTTTTATAGTAGATACGAATCAGGTACTTGCACCGCAGGCTTTTAAATTATTTACTAGTAGTGGGATATAGATTGAATCAAAAGCTTTTTGTACAGTATTATCATTTGTAATATGAATATTGCTGATTCAGTTCCTTTATTTTTGGTAAAAGCATTTTGAAATTTAGCTTCCAGATCAGTAACTTTAGTCTATTGTTGAAATTTATTTGACAGTATTGAGGTAAGGCATTTTCTTATAGTTGATAATAATGCTATAGGTCTGTAATTATTAAGGGAAAGTTGATCACCCTTTTTTATGGATCATAGTAAGAATAACTGTATTCCAAGAATCAGGAAAAGAAGTGGCTTTGTACAGTACATGGCATTAAAGAGATATAACAATTTTAACCTGGAGTTATTTGGAAGCATTTTTAGAAATTTAGTAGGAATATTATCATTTCCGGGGTTGAGTTGCTCTGTTTTCTGAATTGCTTCATTCAGTTCTTCAATAGTAAAATCAGAGTCTAAATATTTGTTATAAGCATCAGTGTTTATTATTGGTAGTAGGTTTGAATGAATTTTTGAGAATCTTTGATAAAAATTTTTCCAAATATCAAAGTCAATGATTGGTGAATTTTCAGTTAGGTTTGATTTAAAATGGAATCTTCTTATTGTAGACCAGAATAATTTACTGTTTTTACTATTTTTTGATTAAGTTTGATTCAAGTTTCCTGAAGTAGTTTTTCTTTTTTGTCTTGAGTAAGTTGTAGGATTGTTTGGCTTTCTTGTAATTAATAAAATTATCATCATTAGAGTTTAGTCTGAAAATTTTTAGTTTAGATTGCTTTTCTATTTTCATTTTATGACAATCAAAATTGTACCAGATTTGTCTGAATCTATTATGAAGGTTTCTTTTTTCATTATTATTGTATACATAATCATTCATTATATTTGTCATTAATTTATAAATTTCTTCACTATTGTTTTCTGTTATTATCGG